CTTAATACACACATTAGGAGCACTAAGTTTGACCAAAACAGAAACAATTCACATGAAAGCATCTTGGGATTGACAATTTTATAATAATATTTATTTTCTTACATAAAGTGGTCTGAATATTTTCTTTTTATCAAATAAACACATAACTGCTGTAAAGTTAGAAGCAAAACATTCTCAACCTCTGATTTCGATAGCTTCTCTGCTTAGCTCTAGTGGGTTCGATCAATTTGGTCCTTTTGTTTTTCTTCTTTCATTTTTTTCCTTATTTTTCTTCATTTTTTCTGACTATTACCGTCTGTTGAAGTAGTGGAGCCCGTAAATAAAAATATTTAGTCTTATATTCGACCTACGTAATAACAATACGTACATCTATATTCTACCTAGTTAGAGGAATAGCCACCCATCAATTAATTAGATCTAAGTAAGAAAAGTGACCATTACTTTTTATATTTTCAATATATATATCATTAAAAATCAAGACACTGTATCCAGATAAAATATAAGTTAAGATGCAAGCTTACTCAGCAATGAAAAGATGTCTTTTCACAAACTAAGCTTTTCCTACCTATAAATATAGCCCAAACCGATCTCACATAAGCACAACACACACCCAAAAAGTTTAACGAATTTAAGCCATTTCAAAAGCTTTAACATTTTCTTTGAAATTCTCAATGGATATCGATTTGAGTGCTCAAGAGAAGAAAACATGGTTCTTCCAAATGGTTAAGGAGTTTCCTAGCAAGCTCAAAGACGATGTCACCAAGCACGTAAAGAATGTGCAAAAGTTTGGGAAAGATGATCCGAGACGGATCATCCATTCCTTAAAAGTGGGATGTGCTCTCACATTAGTCTCAATGTTGTACTATGTACGACCACTATATAACAGCTTCGGGGTTACGGGTATGTGGGCGATACTAACCGTGGTCGTAGTTTTCGAATTTAGTGTTGGTGAGTCTACGAAATCGAACTATTTTATTACTATTACAAAAAAAAAAAACAAGTATTGAATATTTTCAACAATAAATAAAGTTATTTCAAAACATTTTCTTTACAGGTGGAACACTTTCCAAAAGTTTAAACAGAGGATTTGCAACGTTGATAGCCGGTTCCTTAGGGGTTGGTGCAGTACACCTTGCTCGATTTTTTGGACACAAAGGAGAGCCCATTGTTCTTGGGATCTTAGTGTTCTTATTAGGCGCAGCTGCAACATTTTCGCGATTTTTCCCAAAGATTAAACAAAGATACGACTACGGTGCCTTGATATTCATACTCACATTTAGCATGGTTGCTATTTCGGGATACCGTACATATGAAATATTGGGTATGGCATATCAAAGATTATCGACTATTCTTATTGGTGGAACAATTTGCATCCTTGTGTCGATCTTCATCTGTCCTGTATGGGCAGGAGAAGATCTTCACAAAATGATTGCAAACAACATAGATAAACTTGCTAATTACTTAGAAGGTGACTTACAATATCCCACATTTTCAGTTATTTTGTTTTCTAGG